TTAGAGGACATCTTGGGGGTGGTCGGTGTTCTCCGTCTATCCTATGAATTCCAGGGATCAAACTCAGATTGCAGGTGGCAAGCACCTAAGCTGCTAGGCCATTCCTTTCTTTTTGATTTCAGATTAGAGAGGGGGAAAGGGAAGTGACAATGCATCTGTCATAGATTGTTACGGAAAGCAATCCTTTTCAGCCTGTTCTTTGTTTGGAGACATGTAGGCTCACCATGTAGGCTGGCCTAAAACTCGACTTAGAACAGGCTGGTCTTGAACTCAGAGATTCGCCTGCCTGTGCTTTGGAGTGCACCTAACCTATATTGGTTTATTTGTGCATTTCTTTGTACTTTAAGTTTACCGGACCTGTGAGATGGCTTAATGGATAAAGACACTGTGGTCAAGCCCAATGACCTGTGTTCAGTATCAGGGGCATATGATGAAAGAACCATTAATTATCCTTTGACCTCTGCATGTGTATTGTAGGACATCTGTGCCCACATACACACATACACCACAGTGTAAAATAGGTGAATGCAGTTTTTGTTTGGGGGGGCAGACAGGGCTTCTCTCTGTAGCCTTGGCTGTCCTAGAACTCGATCTGTAGTCCAGGCTGGCCTGGAATGCACATGAGTGCTGGGGTTAAAGGTGTGCACCACCACTACCCAGCTAATGAATGCAATTTTTAAAAAGCATATTCTTTTGTTTTAAGAAAAAAAAAAAAGTTTTGACCAGGTTCCTCTGTCTTTTACTGGAATGGGTGTGTGTGCTGGGGGAGGAAACTAAAGCCACGATCCTGGGAGTGGGGCTGAGTCAGGGACTCGGGTCTAAAGAGGTTTGTTCTCTTTCTTTGTCGTAAAGACTTTGTCCCTTTAAGACTTGGTTTGTGGTCTGCGTTGCCATGGATTCCAATGTGTCTTATGACTGATTATCTGTCCCACCTGTCTGCTGCATTGCAAAGTGAGTATGGAGTTGCCTTAGCATCCAGTGATGGCCTCAGCTGCTTCTAGAGGGCCCCTTCCTCTTCTTCCTACTTGTCAGGCTACCAAGGATCTGGCTGCCCTCTCCCGCCCATCAGGCTTTGTAAATGAAGCTATCATTTCAGGAAAGTACGGGGGCAACTGTGCTTGGGCACTCAGTAAGGTCAAGGAATCAATACGTGAACAGTGTCAGGGTGCAATACACAAACACCAAGTTTTCAAAGAGGTTTTGCGTCGTTCCTCTCGTGAGCTACCATTCACTGAGTATCTCTGCCCTACTTACTTCTCCCAGTATACCTGCAACCCTTCTTTTCAGAGAAAGGGGAAAGTCAAATTTAGGCAGGCAAAGTTCAGAATAGACAGATGGCAGAGCTGGGATGCAAAGATGGGTGTCGGCCTGTAGCCTCTATGTAAAGATAATGTGCCTGGGACTTCAATGTGTGTTTTCCGTGAGATGCTGTCACAGGTGATAGTCCCAGCCTACTTTAAAGTGTCTCTGGAAATTTTACGCAATTACAGTGGAATTCCATTCGGATACTATACTAGTGTTTAAGCAGAAGAGGGCAAAATGAATAGAGAAACAATTTGTTTTAAACCTGTGTTCAGAAAGAGAGTCAGGGTTTGTTTTTTGTTTTTGTTTTTTTGTTTTTTAAAGCACACATAGAAACAGGCTGCTCCTGGCTTCTGGACTTCTGCAAGGTCCTGGAAGGTTACGACACGTAGTACGTAGGTACAAGCTGGTGAGGATGCGTTTCCCCTGATAAAAAGCAAACCCTGATTCTGACAGCATAGCTCCAGTCGGATAAGAGTGGGCAGAGCAGGATGTGAAAAAAGAAGAGCCCCAGAGTAGATTGAATGAGACTTTGAAGCCGATTCCTCTCCCCTGGCCAGCCTTTGGGTGGCACTGCTGGCCCGAGATCATCTAGTTGGCACTCCAAGTAAAAATGGCTTGACACTGATATTCTACAGTTGGTTTGAGGTCAGGCTCTGTTCTGTTTCTGGGTTTTGAGATAGCATTAAGAACTTCTTCAAACAAACTGAGCTTATTTGCTTGCAAGCACTATTTTGAAATTTATCAGGTGTCCTCCACCTTGTCTTGTCTTTTAGCAGGTGTGTGGGAACCTCTTCTGCAGATGGCAGTTTTATTGGCATTCTTATTTCCTCCCACACTCCCCTGGCATTTCTATTTCTGAAGTATTAGTTTGATGGAACCAGACTTTGCTTTGCAAGGGAAATGTGTGGAACTCTGAAGAGCTGTTTTCTTTTAGCTCACTTCTTGAGAGATTTGGTAAAGTTCTCTCACTAGTTTCTTTCAAGATAGATTTATGCCTTTTTATGTTTAAAAGCTAATTCCTTCTCCTCTCAACCAAACTATCCCCCAGGTAGTCCCTTAGCCAGCAAGATTCTCATCTTGGAATGAAAACTTCACATAAATTGGCATATGCGGCAAACAACAACTGATACATCTGACTTAGAATGAGATGGCATAGTTATTCTACCAGAAGTGGGGGGAGGGGTAAATATTTGTGCTTTTTTTTTTTTTTTTTTTTTTTTTTAAGACAGGCTATCACTGTAACACTGTATATTCCTTGGCTGGAACTCTTGCTCTGTAGACCAGGCTGCCCTCAGATTCGGAGACCTGCCTGTCTCTACCTCCCAAGTGCTGGGATTAAAGGCATGTGCCACCACCGCTAGGCATACTTTTTACTTTTTACTGTGTATGTCTGTATATCTACATCTCTATGTCTGTGTGAATCCATGCCATTTGTGCCGTCCCACAGAGGCTAGAAGAAGGCGTTGGATGCCACAGAGCTGGAGTTCCAGGCAGTTGTGAGCAGTCCAACACGGTGTTGTGAACTGAACTGTCCTCTGGAAGAGCAGAGAGCCCTTTTCGCCACTGAGCTCTCTCTCTAGTCCCCAGAAGCATTTTTGATTCTTACGTGTCCGTTAGGTGGTTTCTTTTTTTTTTTTTTTTTAATATCTGTTAGCTATAATTTTTATAATGCCCTAGTTATCATTCTCACATCTGTTTCAACGTGCTGTACCTCTGGTTTTTCTCCAGAGGTTACTGTTGAGTGAGTTTGCATTAAGGCTGATAAATAGCACCATAATTCCTAGGTGACTTTTGTTCAAGAATAACAAATCTTTTGAGCTGATGATCCTTATTTGAGCTGTTGAATTTTGTTTCTATAGAACTACTGTCTGTTTTTCCCAAGTGGCTTTCAGTTGCTAGGCAGAATTCAATCCAGTAACCTAGAGGCCAAATGACCTCATAACTCATTAGCAGTTCTCAGAGCCATCTGGTGCCCTTGAGGAGAACAGTGTTCAAAGGACTGATAATAAAGACAACAGCATAATTACTTCTCTGCCATGATTACACCTTTAGGTGGCAAGCAGTCAGCATATTTACTTGCAGATTGCTTGGGTGGTTGTTTTCTAAAGGTATAATAACGATGCCATAGCAGAATAACTTGTTTCCCTGTCCCCTTCATCCAGCTTGCAAATAGGTAAACTAACCTATTGGATCACAAGTTGTAATAGAGCCAATACACCAAAGAAACATAGTATATGAACACAAACTGTAAAAACCGCAGGTGTGCAGAAAGAAGTGGCTGTGGAGTGGGTATGTGTCCCCTCCAGAGTAGATCCTGCCGAAGGTACACAGTAATTTATGGGTGGCTTTTCATTTTCTAAAATGTTTACTAGATAAATACAGAATTTCTCACACTGACCTATTAACCTTCTCTTCTATAGGGAATCTTGTTCCTTACTGCGTAAGAAAATGTCACTTTCAGAATATGCGCTGCGCATGTCCCGTCTGAGTGCCCGGATCTTTGGTGAAGTGGCCAGGCCTACTGATTCAAAGTCCATGAAAGTGGTGAACCTGTTCAGTGAGCAGCCCTTGGCCAAAAGGAAAGAGACTTACGACTGGTATCCAGATCACAACGTATACTTCGCGCTCATGGCCAGGCTCCGTTTCCTTGGCCTTTACAGGTGATAAGGGGAAGCAGATAGGGCTTTGTGACAGGTGGTTTTAGTTGATCAGCAAAGGAAAACCATTGTCTCTCCCTACAATTTTGTGGTTCTTATGAGAGAGTCCAGGTAAGGCACAGAGGTGGGGTGGGGCAAGGCGGGGAGTGGGCTTTTAAAATTGTCTTGACTCATAAAAAAGCAAACAAGCAAAAACATGTTTGTTGAAATTATGTCTAAAACATAACCAACATAAACTTGTACTGAGCTATGGAGAGATGTCTAATTATTCATTAATTTAAAGTCGCTCTGAGAAGGAAGCGGGTAGCAGGATGGGGCAAACGGTGTGAACTAGGTGTGAACTAAAACCCCACAAGCACCGTGGCTGCCAGAGCAGCTGGTTCTAGGCCCAGAGCAGCGGAGTCCTGCCCCACACGAGGTTGGCCTCTCACTGGGTGTGTAGGAACCTCCCTTCTCTGCTGGTGGCAGTTTTATCGACATTCTTATTCCTCCCACTGGCTTCTGGCATTTTATTTTATGCCTTTTTGATCTATTAATTTGACTTGAATAAGCTGTACTTCACTTTTAAAGGTAATTTATAAATTACATAACTCAATACTGTGTTTTATATGTTTGATAGATCTAACAAGTGAGTGCTTAGGACCTTTGTAGGGGAAAAAAGATAAAATACCTGGATGGTCATTTTTCTTTATTTTATTTTTTTTATTTCCAAATGAATACATGCTCCTTACAAAGAGTTAAAACAATATGTTTCATAAGCATGTGTGGAGAAGAGGGAGGAAGGGAGGGATTGGGAGGGGAGAAGAGAGGGAGCTACAGGGGGGATACAAAGTGAATAAAGTGTGATTAATAAAAAAAAATTTAAAAAATAACCCACAAAAAGAAAAAGAAAAAAATGTAACTATATATCATCTGTAAAATGTAACATGTTTTAACTGGACCTAACTGTTAATTTGGGACCATTTGTTAATACAAAATTAATAGCATAGCATGGTACTAATTCCATAGAGCTAAAGGTTAGTACACTCATTTCTCCAACATATTTTTTAAGTTCTTTGCATGTACAGGTACTTAAGATGGACATTCAAGGAATAGCAGTGAAGAAAACAAGTGGATGTTCTAAGTTAATATATTGCTAGAGATTGTAATATCTGACCTACTTTTGAGAGTCTGGAATTGCTTGGGAATATCTCCTTTGCCATTAGTGTTGGCTCGGAAAAATAAAACTTAATTTTCTTATGATCCAGAATAAAATATCAGAAGCCAGACCCCATGGAAAGTTATAAGCCGTAACAAAATCACATTCAACTATTTTAATATACCCACTTGATATTCTTCATTTATGTGAAGAACAAAGACCTAGCTATCTTTGAAGATAAGGGGAAAATACTGAACACTTAGATGTTCATTGAAAAGCAAAATTATTTTTATGTGTTTAGTCAGTAGTTATGGTAAATGATGCCTTCAGTGCACTGCCAACTGTAGCATCAGACAGGTTGAATATAGATATCTTTCAATAAAGTAAAGGCCTGCAAAAGAGGGAGGGAAATATAAGCTCCCCAGAACTCAGTTAAGAAGCTGTTGTGTTGTGCTGGTGGCCTTTGTGGAGTTTTCTGTCTGATGGTGGACAGAAACAGGGAGGGAACAAAGAATGGGAAAATGATGTAATATTTGTCATGTTTTGTGACAGTGTTGAGCCTGCTGGGGTGGGGGGGCAGAACTGGCAAAGCAGGATCCAGAGTGCTGACAGGGCCTGTGGTGAGCAGGGAAAGGGCATGGTAATAGCCTTAAACAGGGCAGTCAGGGTCAGCCCCTGAGAGGAGACTGAGGCTTAGGCTGAGGCTCATGGGTAGTGAATGAACCTGGTGAGACCTAGGGAAGAGCTGTGGGACAGAAGCAGGGTGAACACAGGCCACGGAGGCTTCCTGAGATGGAAGGTGCCTGCAATGACCCAGGAACAGTTTGGGCTAAGGGAACAGCTGGGAGACAGGACGACTCACGGGGGCCTGTGAGTGTTGTAAAGAACAAGGCTTTGCCTTGGGTAACAGAGTTTGAACATGACCTGACATCTGTTTACATGAATTGTGACGGCTCTGTTGAGAATCATTTGGCACTCATAGCTAATGCCAATGAGGTCTGTGCTGTATGTTTATCATGTTCGTGGAATGAAATATCAAATTCCTTAAACTCAGTCTTTTAAAAATATAGTTTGGTTGGGCTCAGCAAAGCATCCCTTTTTTATATATTTGGTCCATTTTGTTAAATCCATTAATAATGTATATTTAAACCATAAGCTATTATTGCTACCTGTTACAGATGCAGAAACTAAGGTGCAAAGAGAAAAACAGGTCTTGTGTCCAGAGTCACAGAGCTGGTATCTGGTGGAGCTGTGTTTTAGGCTGGTTTACACTGTTTTCCTGGCTTACATGTTTAAGCACTTCCTGTGGGTGTTTGGTCTTAGGGTGTAGACACTTTATTACAGTCATCACCATTCACGTGTGTTGTTAGTCCTGGCTAATAGAAGTGCATAACTCCTGTAACTCCTGTCTTGATCTGCTTTCCATCTGCCTGAGTCTTTCCCAGCAACCTTTTTGTGGGGGCATCCATTGCCACTTAAGCTGTTCTGGAGTACTGCCCATTTTTAGTGGATGCTAATTCCTAGGGCAGTCAGGATCTCTGTGCAGCTTCTGAAAATTACACTCACGTTTCACTCCTAAAATGTTTAGTCTTTTAATTTTTTTTCAAAAATGGAAACGCAACCCAAGGTGTTTAGCTTCAATGTAAGGAACTGCTGGGTGGTTGTAGTATTGTGTCTGTAAAGGAAAACTGATGTCTGAATTCTTGTAATCCAGCCAATCTATATGTTGGGTCCCCTAAGCTTTCTGTTCGCCAAACTAAGCATGTGCCCTGAAAAGCCATGCTCAACAATCTTTTGGCACTTCTCTAATGTGGTAAACATAGCTAATTTTTTTTTTCTTCTTCTTCTTCTTCTTCTTCTTCATCCAGAGATGAGCATCAGGATTTTAAGGAAGAGCAAAAACGTCTAAAAAAGCTCCGCGGAAAGGGGAAACCAAAGAAAGGAGAAGGGAAAAGAGCTGCAAAAAAGAAATAGTATCATCTCCTCAAGGAAAAAAATTCCTTCCTCAGTGACTAAGAAAGTGTATCTCATCATCTTTTCACATATTAGAGGAATATGACCTTCCTCAGTAGACATCAGCCCTGTGTTCATGTCCACCTCAGTTAAACTGTGACTGGCTTCTTGAAGATATTCTAATCCTTCAAAATTATATTGACCTTGGTTTTATAATCTAAAGCTTACCAAATTCTATCATGGAATGAATAAACTATTGTTTAGTGATTTGTTGAAGATGGGAATGGATGCTGGGATTGGAGTAGGAACCTCCCTAAATGAGTGTCCCACACTCTCTTTATTCCTCCATTGCTTCCCCACTAAACCCTAAGCTTTCCTCTCTCTGATCATTGAGCGTCTGCCCTCACCATCGAGCTGACTCTTCTAAAAGTGCCAAACTTTGATTAAAAGCTCTCTAAGAAAGGGTGTATACTATGCCTACTGTATACAAGGTTTTGGAGCCTTGGTAATATAGTGGTTAACAAGGAAAACAGTTTTTAGGTCATGGAACATTAAGTCTTGTAGAAGAGGCTAATATAAATACATATATATTTAATATGATTGTATCATGTGTTATAATTGTGTTAAATACTACAAAGGGAAAAAAAACTACCTTTTGAGACAGTGGGTGAATGAAAATATTGACAAAACCACATTAGAAAATTTAGAGACCTTCCAAAATAAAAAGAAATTATATTTAAGATGAACACAAAGGATAAATAAGAGAAAACTGATGAGGAAAGGTGCTTGAGGTAAAGAAAGGTTGAAAGGCCCTTAAGTAAGAAATTCTTGTTCCAAAATTTGGAAACAGACCCCTGACTGACTTTTGTTTAACCATAAGGACATAGGCTGGCCAGGCAAATTGTATGAAAAAGTTTAGACAGCTAAACCTGGTGACCCTTGGTTGGTTTAGGCAAGACATCAAGTTTGAGGCCAGACCCTGTCTCAAAAAGAGAGAACAGGATGGTATGTGTATGGCATGGTAAAGGCCTCGTTAACCTCTTGTTCAAAAAGCAAAGTACAGAAGCAAGAGTAGACATATCAGCTACTTTTGATAGGATTTTCTTTTCCTGAACATCGAGTCTTAGACTAGTAAGAACTAGTGCATATGTTTAGACAAATGTTATTTTTAAATGTATAATCCAGATGGTATAGCGAGGGTGTATAGCCTGTTGGGGGGGCGGGTCTACTTAAAATTGGGTGATTTGTGTCTGATAGAATTTAACTCAAAACAGAAGGTTCAGAATCCATTCATTTAAAGCTTTCTACTTAGTACCTGCCATATGCCTGGCTCGTAGTAGTTGTGAGGTGATAGAAAGAGTAGATAATAGTCACTCCAAGGTTGTGTGAGTAAGTGCTGCTGCTGTTACAAAGTAATGGCAAGAACTCGGAATTTGCCTAGGAAAAGTGCACAGCTGAGCCAGGGTAGGAGCTGAGGTGGGAGATAGTCGTAGCCTGGACTTGAGGTAGCTGTGACAATTCTCCAACTTGTAAAGAAGCCCTAGGCCTGAAGAGATCACTTAGCAACTAAGAGTGCTTGTCTTACAGAGGACCAGGGTTTCGTTCTCAGCACCCACGGGTTGACTCAAGTTTCAGGGGTTTGGATGCTCTTGGCACCAAACACACCACACATGTGCACATTCATACATTCAGGCAAAACACCCATCCCCAGAAGATAAGTTTAAATTTTTTAAAGAGGCCCTGCATAAAGAGGATCTTGGAAGACCTAAGATGTTTGGACAAGTAATGCATTACATGCTAACCACGACGCTGAGGCAGGAAGCAGAATCTCTCCCGCTTAACTATTGGAAGAGCATCAGCAGCTCAGGCAGCCAGGAATCCTGGCAATGGCTGGTAAGTAATTAGTAGTTAACCCCTGTGGTGGTTTAAATAATGGTCCCCATAGACTTATTTGAATGTTTGGTCACCAGGGAATGGAACTGTTTGAAAGGATTACAAGGATTAGGAGGTGTGGCCTTGTGGGAGGAAGTCTGTCACTAGGGGTGGGCCCGTGCTAGGTCCAGTTCTCTCCCCTCAGGCTTCAGATCAGACTGTAGCTCTCAGCTACTGCTCCAGCACCATACATGTCACCGTGCTCCCTACCATGGTGATGCACTAAACCTCTGAAACTGTAAGCAAGCCCCCAATTAAATGCTTTCTTTTATAAGTTGTCTTGGTCATGGCATCTCTTCACAGCAATAGAACGGTGACTACAGCAAATTCACAGTGGGTCAGTGTGCTGCTGACACATGCTAAAAACCAGAAAAAAGCTAGGATCTGTTTGCACATAAACTGCCCAAAAACCAGCTGTTGGAGTAAACACCATGAGACTCAAGACTGCCCACACTGATAGAGGTCACATGTACTTTGCAAAACAGTTTAGTGCAACCGTGTCTTAAGTTTTATTGTGCACATGGGATTGGGATAATTGTTACCAGAAAACTTTTTTTCCAAAGTAGTACTGTATTTAAATATGTCTAAAATGAACGGCCTGGTGTCAGACTCCAGAAGTTTGACCCAACACCAGTTAACTAAGTTACATTGAACGGATTGCCCTCTTGCCTCACACTGATCATCCCTACGTCAGCCATAGGTTTGCAGGAACTCCACTGTTAAATGTGGCCATATATGTTCTTCTCTAAATTAAAATGAAACCCTAAAGAAAAGACAAGAAGATTCAAAATGGGTATCTGAGGAGAGGATTCTGGGAAGGAGGCAGAGTAAGCGTCTGTACCTAGCCACACGTCCCCTGTCTGTCAGGTGTAATTATTCTAGAACACAGGCGTGTACTGGAGATTTACTACTTCCAGTGGAAGGCTTGGGGGGAACCACACTTAATGTGGGTCCACTTGAGCTCTTAGCACAGTAATAGCTAACCATTCCTCAAGTGCAGTTTTCTAACAGGCAGCTGTGCACGGTCCTGGAACAGCCTGCACACACCCTGAAAGAAAGACGTGGACAAAAATAAACCCTCTCTTCCAACAGCTGCGCTCAATACTGACTGTTGCTCTGAACACAGGCGGTGCAGAGGCAAGTGGACATTGTTTTTGCATTTCCCTTCACTGCTGTCCTAGCTGATGTGATTTCCAACATACTTAAAGGGCCATCACATTTCTCTCTCCATTTTTTCTGGTTTTTACCGTTTGAGAGCTATACTTTAAAGACTGGCACATTGAAAGCATATCCAGGGAAAACTAGAACATGACCATATGTGCCCAGAGAAGGACACAGAGACACAAAGACCAGAAAAGCCCTTCACTTCACACATCTATCGATCTATGTCACAGAGCTAGCCTACCACAATGAAACACAAAACTTAGGAAAAACAGTTTAAAGCAAAATGAACAAACATAGAAGAACAGAAGCCCTAGGAAAGAGAGAATGCACCCTGCGAGTTGCCACATTATGAGATTCTGACATTTTCAACAGTAGCAAAAACAAAATCACAAGATAAGCAGATAAACATTTGGCCCATTCCAGAAAAGGGGATTCTGAGGGGGACGGTGTGGTACAATTCTGGCCTAGCATATGCAAGTCCCTGTGTTCAGTCCCCAGGAAAAACAAAACCCAAACCCCAGAGGCTGAATAGCTTTTTCTTTCTATTAGAGTCTACACCCTCAAAGGAAAAACATAGAAATTCACCCAGAAAAAAATAAAAACATAGTTAATCTACCAAATACTTCTAAACAACTTTATGAAAGAGCTACAAGATAATGTAATACTTTTTTAAAAAAAAAAAGAAATATTTAATTAATACACAAGTAGGAAACCTAAGAGGGACTGGGGAGATGGCTCGGTCAGTAAGGTCTAGCCACATAAGCCTGAGGACCTGAGTCTGATCCCTGGTGCCTACATTAAATTTTTTAAGCCAAAAAAGTTGGCATTTGTAATCCCAGTGTTACGGTATCATCGATGGCTCATTAAGGAAAACTATCACTGACAAACTATCAAAAGAATGAAATGTACCTCTTCCAGTTGAGCCTGCCAATCACCTGGCCAAGGGACTACGCCTCAGGAAGGGCTGGTTCACCTTAAGCCATGTTAAAGAGATAGAAGGAATAATTAGCCTTTTAATAATATAATGTTCTTTTCCTTCCCAGGAAGTTATCATCTAACAGCCACACACAGGCCATGGTACCTACTCCTGCACATACACTAATGATACGCACAGACGTATGTGTTATGTATATAGTCTTAACAGTGTGCCATGTACAGATATTCCCTACCCAGAGATGACAATACAATAAAAGTGAAAATATGGGAAAAGATATTCCATTCAAAGAGCAATTAAAAGAAGATGATGCTGCTGCCTAGAACCTAACTCAGTATTGGCATCACTAAAGGTCTGCTAAATGAATGCTGTGTTACTTGTTCGGGAGAATAAATGAAACGAGTTGGTTTTTTGGTTAGTTTTGTTGTTAATATATTAGACTATGAAATAAGAATTTTAAAATGCATAAGATAAAGGAATAAGGAGGAAACAGATAAATGATTACTAATTCAAATTGATGCTAGAACTTACTGACACTGGACAATACTGATAGCGATTTCTTTAGTGTGATCTCATTAAACAAAAAAAAAAAAAAAACTCTGTCAACATGTATGCTGAGCCAATAATAACATCCATGTGCTTTGTCCTAGATATACAACTTAAGACCTAAATCTCAATTTCTATATCCTATTCTTTTACAAAAGGAATCATGGTTTCCGAACAAACAGTAAATCCCAAGGGTGAACCAAGCAAGAAACAAATTTCACCAGAAAGTAGCACCTCAGATACAACATCCTCAAAACAAGCTTTGTCCACACTGCAGAAGGATGAAGAAATCCTGTGAGTGTATCAGTGTTCACAACTCACTAAGACAGATGTTTACTGTAAGGAATTAGTTCACAATTTTGGAGACATCCCAAGGGGTACCCCTTCAATCTGCCATCTGCAAACTCACCAGCCAGGAAAGGTAGAGGTATCATTCAGCTTGGCTGGGAACAATGGAGAGCTGCTTGCTTGGCAAGCTGCTTTGTTATTGTTATTCAGTGAAATACATGTTTTTGCCCTGGCCTTTACCTTGAAACAGGGATAAGCAGGTTGTTTTACCAAGTTCCTTTAGCTTGTTTGTGTGACCTTGGACCATTTCTGCTATACAGAGAGGTGGTCTAAGGAAATACGTTTGGCTGCTCCGTGAACCTCTTCCTTGTATTGATGTGCCTTGTTTTGCTTTGCCTATAAGAAGCTGTTG